CCTTCCACCCCTCTTGCTGCTGGGCCACAGCCCAGAGTCCCAGGGAGTGATCAGCGGTGCTGTTTTCCTTATCATCCTCTTCTGCTTCATCCCTTTCCCTTTCCTGAACTGCTTTGTGGAGGAGCAGTGTAAAGCCTTCCCCCACCATGAAGTAAGTAGCTACCTGAGAGAGTTGGGGTCTTTTGGGTTTGCGGGGAGGGGCTAAGAATCGGAGAAAGACAGGAATTCCTGAAAGGAATGATGAAGTGGAAGTAGGTTTTGAGTCCTGATTTGCCCGATCCTCTCCCAGTTCGTGGCCCTGATAGGTGCTCTCCTTGCCATCTGCTGCATGATTTTCCTGGGCTTTGCGGATGATGTACTGAATCTACGCTGGCGCCATAAGCTGCTGCTTCCCACAGCTGCCTCACTACCTCTCCTCATGGTCTATTTCACCAACTTTGGCAACACGACCATTGTGGTACCCAAGCCTTTCCGGCCAATTCTTGGCCTGCATTTGGACTTGGGTGAGTAGCCCCGCTACTACTGCCCCTATGTTCTCTACTTCAGGGCACCCTTACCCGCTGAGATATCCAGCAGAGCATCCTTCCTGGTGCTCCATTTTCTCCTCCAAGTGTCTCTGTTTTGACCTTGTGTCTTCTCAGATCCTTTCTGTTGGCCCTTCATCCTATCCTCTGTCATCACCACTTTTCTTGGAAGAATATCCTTAAATCCTCATTCTGTAGGTGGCATTACTTCTTTTCTTACTGTTTTCTCTCAGGGATCCTGTACTATGTCTACATGGGGTTGCTGGCAGTGTTCTGTACCAATGCTATCAATATCCTAGCAGGAATTAATGGCCTTGAGGCTGGCCAATCACTAGTCATTTCTGCTTCCATCATCATCTTCAACCTGGTGGAGCTGGAAGGTATGTGGGATTGAGGGTAGGTCGAGAAAGAAGTCTGAGTGTTAAGGGAGTTGCCTGATATCTGGCTTTGGGGAATTAGGGGGAAAAAAGCAATATGTTAATTATAGAAGATAGGGAAGGTATTTATTTTGCAAATAACAACTAAGATTTATTAAATATGAGAAAGAAAAACACAAGTCCTGTCATTTATAGCTAGATCGGCACTAATAGATAGGTCATGGTCTTCTCCTATTGAACATAAACAGTTTCACAGAATCCCTAAATCACTCTCTGACATTGATAAAGACAAAAACCAGACCCCTCTATAATGATATCTGAGCACAGACAAAACTACAACACTGTGTACCCCACAAAAATGACCAAGATCCCCCTCTTCTGGTTAACATGAGTGATTGCTGCTTCCTTCTAACAACTCAGTTCCTCCCACTTCATAGATAAAAATTAAGATGCTGAGTCATAGAATTATTCCTGTTGACAGTCTAGGGCAAAACTCTGCCTCCTTGCATCATCCCCAGAATTGTTTAAAACAAATCTTATAACAAGTCCTCCTAACACCCCCTTACTGAGGCATCCCAAGGTTCCCCATGGTATGTGGTTTCCAAAGTCTCCCTTGTTGCAAGTTAGTAAATCCAGCTTTCATTACAGGTGTGTTCTGGTGGTCTTTGGTTGATGGACATCAATAAGTGTTTATTAAAGCTAAGCACTTTTCAAACATTTTCATTTAAACTTTGTAACAGTTCTATATGTCAGATATTATCAACTGTATTTTACAGATGAGGAAACTCAGGCTTAGAGAAGTATTGTGTCATGATCAAGGTCACATAGGAAGTAAAGCTCGTATTCAAACCTACATCTGACCAATCTAAACCATTTTAAGACAATAACTAGTTTGGGAAGCATTCATGAAAGAGGTGGAATGTTGACAATTGCTTGGGTGACATAAAAGGAGTAGTGAGTTCCTGAATGATTTGGAAGAGGTAGACAGTACAGCTTGGGATATAACTTAGAGGCAAACAAAGATAGGACCAGGGTATGCAGAGGAAGTGGCTATTCAATTTTTCCTTCTTTGTTTTTCCTCCTTCTTCCAAAGGTGATTATCGGGATGACCATGTCTTTTCCCTCTACTTCATGATACCCTTTTTTTTCACCACCTTGGGATTGCTCTACCATAACTGGTAAGTAGGCCTGTGGATAGGAGGACAGCTATTTGAACATGTGGCAAGTATGGTCCTGATCATGACCCAACTCCTGATGGAGAGGCTAACCTAAACCTGTGCATACTCATGTTGAGTGTTTTCTGAGTCTTTGGTTGGCAGTATTCTTAAATTGCTCTCTACCCATCAGTGGTTGGTGACAAGTACTACGGAGCCCCAGGAATAGATGAATTCAGGACCTTGGGTTCTGAAGAACTACTGGGAGAATTGGAGGGAGTCTCCTCTGAGCCAGAACTAGAGTCAGGGGTAGTCCAGTGCCCAGGGTGTGTTATGTGAGAGAAAAGATTGGTAATGCTTCTTGCCATTGGCTCAGATCCTCTCCTCCACGCAGGTACCCATCACGGGTGTTTGTGGGAGATACCTTCTGTTACTTTGCTGGCATGACCTTTGCCGTGGTGGGCATCTTGGGACATTTCAGCAAGACCATGCTACTCTTCTTCATGCCCCAGGTGTTCAACTTCCTCTACTCACTGCCTCAGCTCCTGCACATCATTCCTTGCCCTCGTCACCGTGTGCCCAGGTAGCTGCTTTGGGATTTAAAGGGAAATTATAGCTTTTTCATTTGGGATTCATAAAGCCAGCCTTACACATTTGCTCTGCAAAGGGAGTGGACCCAAAGAAGGGCTGTTTCCCTGTGGTAAGCCCTTTATAAATTAAGAGCACATTTACTTACATAATTTCATTTAATGTTCACAACAACTCTGATCACACAGTAGTAAGCAGCAGAGCCAGAAATAGATCTCAAGTTGTTGGACTCCACATTTGGTGCTCTTCCTATTAAATAACTACTCTGAGGAGAGTTCTTTAAGTAGTAGCCCAGTCACATAAAGCTCTCTTCCCCCTGCAGACTCAATACCAACACAGGCAAACTGGAGATGAGCTATTCCAAGTTCAAGACCAAGAGCCTGTCTTTCTTGGGCACCTTTATTCTAAAGGTAACAGGGGAACAAGGAGGTAAGGCTCTAGGTCACCATCCTGAATTCAGGAAATGGGGAACCTAGGCCTACATCAGATTCAAGGGGATTCTGAAAGCATTAAGCAGATTCCCGTTCCTGAAGCATAGGTATTAACTGAAGTTCTCTCCACCTCCGGCCCTTCCAGGTAGCAGAGAGCTTCCAACTAGTGACAGTGCACCAGAGTGAGAATGAGGATGGTGCCTTCACTGAATGTAACAACATGACCCTCATCAACTTGCTACTTAAAGTGTTTGGGCCCATGCACGAGAGAAACCTCACACTGCTCCTGCTGCTGCTACAGGTGCGGTTGGGGATGAGGTTTATCACTCTTTGTCTCTCTTTCTCCATGGTTTTTACTCTAGTCTCTTTTTTATTTTTGCAGATCTTGGGCAGTGCTGTTACCTTCTCCATTCGATACCAGCTTGTCCGACTCTTCTATGATGTCTGAGTTCCTGGATCATTGCCCTTTTCTTCATAGTCTCCAGGGTTTCTGACTCAGGACAACCTCATTCTAGACTAAGACTGCCTCTCAGCCCAGGCCTCTCTCACCCTCCATTCTCCATAGAATTTCCATTCCCCTGTGATTATTGACATACTGGGCCTTTCTTGCCCTCGAATGACTGTTGATTGGACTTTGCCTATGATTTTCTTCAACTTGCCACTCTCCCTATCCATCCTGTCTTTGGAGCCTAAAGTGGGATACTGCATCTGTTATGCAGTTTTCCACAACTCTGACTTTCAAGGACTAGGTTGGGCCTGGTGATAGGGACACAGGCTCAAAGATGACTTGAATTTGACTATAAATTAAGTATTCTAATTAGTAAAAGCAGAAAGGGTGTGTGTGTGTGCGCGTGTGTGTGTGTGTGTGGGGGGGTGCCGCAGGTGCTCCCAGTGGTGACAATAAAGTGTTGTCTTTTTCTTGTTTCTGTAGGTATGTTTCCTATATGGGCATTTTAGGGTAGATTGGGAGGGTTAGTGGAGGCACCTCCTTCAAGAAGATGCCTATCTCTCTGACCCATCCTTTTCCTTTTAGTACATCAAGCTCCTTCTAGCAAGAAGTGAGCAGGAAGAACAGACCAGACAGACCATGTTGAAAAAATATTGAAATCCTGATACTTCAGGTGGCATGGAGGGCCATAAGATTGGAGTATGGAATCAAAATTTCAGGGGGTCTCATTTCTTCCCTTTTTCACGCTCCTTTTGTCGGACAGGAGTGACCAGACCTGGAAGGGGAGTCAGAGGTAGTTGTAGTGTTGACCCTCTTCCTTTAAAAATTTCAGGCCGACACGGATTTCCCAGAGGCTCTTGAGGTGGCTTCTTTTACTACTCTGTTTTCTGGTTTAGGTCGCCGGCTGTAGGGTTTAAATCTCGCGCGCTTCGCGTGGATTGGCTACATGAGGGAAGGGTTGGCTGGCTGTATGCCACCACTCCTCCTCACTATTTTCCCCGGGCAAAAGGTTTTCAAATTCAGCCAATCGGCGGGCGCGCTTTTCCAGCCGAGGCGCGTCACCAAAGGGTTAACTTTAACCAACCAGAGGCGGCTTTAGAGAAAAGAGCCAATCAAAAGGGCGCGGAGGTGTGCCCTGGGGGCTTATAAGGGCGACCCCTGGGCGCGCGCGGCACTGTCGGACTGCAGCGAGCGGCTGTGTTTTGGTTCCTTTTTAAGTGCTCCTCGCGGTTTTTCTACCTCGCGCAGCATGTCGGGCCGCGGCAAGACTGGCGGCAAGGCCCGCGCCAAGGCAAAGTCGCGCTCGTCACGCGCCGGCCTGCAGTTCCCAGTAGGCCGCGTACACCGGCTGCTGCGGAAGGGCCACTACGCCGAGCGGGTGGGCGCCGGCGCGCCGGTCTATCTGGCGGCGGTACTCGAGTACCTCACCGCAGAGATCCTGGAGCTGGCGGGCAACGCGGCCCGCGACAACAAGAAGACGCGCATCATCCCCCGCCACCTGCAACTGGCCATCCGCAACGACGAGGAGCTCAACAAGCTGCTGGGCGGCGTGACGATCGCCCAGGGAGGCGTCCTGCCTAACATCCAGGCCGTCCTGCTGCCCAAGAAAACCAGCGCCACCGTGGGGCCGAAGGCGCCGGCGGGCGGCAAGAAGGCCACCCAGGCCTCTCAGGAGTACTGAGGGGTGCCCGTACTGCCCCCGGCCGCCGAGCCCTCCCCGTGCCACCACAAAGGCCCTTTTAAGGGCCACCACAGCCCTCACGGAAAGAGCTGAGCCGCGGCGGTCGGCCGTCTCCCTTCCCTCAGCCCGCCGCCACTGGCCGCCCCTCCCCCGCGCGGGCTCGCGGGTCCTGGCTCCTGTTCTCCGTCAATGAGCGGCCGATAGACGCCGCTCGGCCTGGTCCCAGTAGTCTCCGGCTCTGTGACTCAGCCGCCCTGCCCTCCGAATGGCTGACGGGCTGTGGTAAGGCCGCGGCACCTTCTGGAAGGCCAGACCTGCCGCTCTGACGTAGGGCTGAGGTGAGCGGCCGCGGCCCGGAAGGTGAGTCGCCGGCGGAGCCCCTCAGCGAGCCCCGCGCGTCTGCTGCTTCTCCAGCTCGGTGCTTAGGCCGCGACCTCAGACATGACTGTTGACTTCCAGGCTTTGGTGGGGGAAGACATTAATTCTTAAACTCGTTCGGGTGCCCCCTTTGCTGCCAGACCCCAGGCCTTTCCCATCCGCTCCCTCCATCTTCATTCTGGGCCTGTGCGGCGCCGCCGGGACACACTGTAACGTGCAGACCTTTCCCCGCAGATGCGTGCCTCCCGGGAAGATGGTGGGGCGGGAGAGGGGGCGCCAAGGCCTCCTTTGGGGTTCGGACGGGCGGTGTGGACCGCGGGGCTTGTGCGTGCGTGCCCCTGCAGCTGACGCGCAGCCGGGCCTCACCAATCCGCCCATTGCCCCTCCAGCCAACCCAGCACCTGTATAGATACCAGCACAATCCGGCAGCCCCCGTCTGGACCTAGCCTCCGCTGGCTTCTGAACTGAACTGGAATTTAGCAGCTAACCCATCTAAGACTAGTACCTTGGGTATTGGGTAGTTTCAGATGGACTAATTTTGTTTATTAAAAGATTGTTTTTTAAAAATGAGTCGCTGTTTTCATTTTGCCGAAAATGTGGGATAGATGACTTTGTCAACTCCTGAGGTAGTGGGGGTTAGGGGGACTATGATAAAAGCCTCTGGTTAACTGGAGAGGGGCAAGCTATAAGATTTTAAGGTTATGGCTCACTCGGTGTTCCCTGGGAGACAATTTGCTCTATTAGAAGTGAAGTGAGAACTACTGAGCCAGAAAACAGGAGTGTTCCAGAAGAACTTTGGACAGAGGTCCCAGCCTCCAAAATAAGGAGTAAAGGGTTTTATATTCTTATCTTTACTGAAACCCTACCACCCCCCCGCCAAAAAAAATCTTAAGAGTTGGTTTATAGTAGAGCTGGTTACATTCAAAGGAGGCTTAGACTCTTAAGATGAAGCCCCCACCTATTGAGAAGAAAAGGCAGTCCCTGGAAGTCTCTGACTCTGCAGTTCAATCCTCTGGGGTAATTACTCCCCGGTTAACTGTGAGAATGGAGCAATAAGAGTTGGGATGTAGGTACTGGACAGCAGCAACTCTGCCTCATAGACCAGTTAGTGGGCATCATTAAGCTGCCGTGCAACGTCCAAGATGTTCTTGGCTCCTTTGTTCAGCAACAAGTTGGCCAGGCTGATGCCCAGGTTCTCAGCAGCCAGCTGGGCTACTCGTGGAATGTTCTGGGCAGTGATGCCCACCAGCTGTGGATCATCTTCAGGGCCATCTTCATGCTGGGTAAGAACATAAGATTTGGTAAGCACAAAACGGGGAGGTAAGGCAGACTTGTTTCTTACCCTCTCCCCCACCCTCCAGCCTTGGCACCTGGGCAGGGACAGCAATGGTGGCCTGCATGGTCTCTTGCATGCTATCTGATCCATCCAGACTCCAGACTCCTCCAGTCAGGTACAGCTGGGAAAGAAAACAGTTGCCTCAGCATATTCTGAGGGAACTGCTCAGAAACCTGGGCTCTTTTTGCTGGCAACTAGGGATGCCCTCCCATCCATCTTCCCTGCTTACTTGCCCATCCTTCATAGCTGTATGCACTGCTACTGGCACACTGCAGCCTCCTTCCTGCAATGAAAAGTTCTCCCTGTGAGGGCCAGAGACCCTTAATATTACCTTGTGACCAGAGCCCTCAGAAATCCATAGGCTTGTGAGGACATAACTGAAAAGGAGGCTAGAGACTCAGACCTGGGTCCTCTATACACAACTTTCAAAACTGAGTTGTCACTAAATACAAAGCATTAATTTGAGAAATCTCCCCACTATCCTTCCGAACTCCCCACCCTTCCACAGTTGGAACACAAGACCTACCAGGTGCCTCAGGAAGGCCCGTTCAGCAATGCAGCAGAGCAGAGTCTCAGGATCATGCAATATACCCACCAGATCCAACATATCCTGGTCCTTGGCTCGGACTTCCACACCCAGGGCCCCCTAATGAAAAACAGCCTAAGACATCAGGTCTAAATTTTCTCTGACCAATGGAGCTAAGCATGAGAACCAGACCACCTCCACCTGCTCCCCAAGGCCTTTTGGTACAAAAGCTTCCCAAGGCCCCTCCCTAGGAACATTTATGCTGCGGTAAGCAGATGCAGAAAGTATGACCAGCTTCTTGGTTGAGAACAAAGGGGCATATCAATATGGCTTCCCTGGTCAAGCATACCTGACCTACAGCATACATGCATTCCTCAGGGTGCAGGATCTGTGGGAGCAGAAGAGGCAGAAGGGTGGAGATGGGGATACCTAAAAGCACACAGCAGTGAAATGGGGCTTCATTATCACATAGAAAGCCTGCACAGAGGGAGTCTGGCCTCTGATCCCCAATCTTCCTAGCCTGGGACTTGTTTCCAGCTTGTAGAGTTGGAGGCAAGGTGTTCGACAAGAGCATATAGCAGGAAGGGGATAAAAATTCATTGGGGAGGGAACAGGGGCAGCCCTTACCTGCCCCACCCGGTTCTGCCAGCCCATGCGCTGCAGGCCAGCTGCAGCCAAGATGATGGCACTGAACTCCTGCTGCTCATCCAGCTTTCGAAGCCTTGTGTTGAGGTTTCCCCGCTGTGAAGAGATGCTAAGGACCATGAGCATTGTTCCTTCTGCCTGAAACATTCTCCTAGCTGGATAACTTCTCATCTTTCAGTTCTCAGCTTAACAGTAACAGCTAACACTGCATATTTACTACATGCCAGATACTATTCTAAAGTGTTTTACATATGTTAACTCATTTAATTTTCACAGAAACTGAGGTAGGTTTTATTATCTCCACTTTACAGATGATGAAAATGATGCAGAGAGGTTAAAAAACTTGCCCAAGGTTACAAGATCTCTAAGAAGCCTTCCTTGGCCCCCAAATCTGTGTTTAGATGGTCCAGTTGAAGCTTCCAGAGAAATCTCTACTTTGCTCATTGGAGCACTTAACACATACTATTTTCATTTTACAAAACATACTACATATTCATTGTAAAAAGTCAAATATAGAATATAAAATTAAAATGGAAGCACTCTCCAACCTCCCCTCCACCCCCCTAAAGTAATCAATGTTGAGTATCACTTTGTATTATCAATGCCTGTTTGTCTTATCTCCCAAACCAAAATGTAAACTCTGTGTAAGCAGGAACAATGTTGATCTTGCTCACCATTATCCCCAGTGCCAGGCACTTAACCTAGAGCTGAGAAAACATGAAGCAATATGAATGGATGAATGAGTAGATGACTGGGAGGATAGATACCCCACTCACTGCCCCCATGGACCACTACCTCGAGAAGCCCCTTCTACTCTCAAGACTCCCAGGGCCCCCTGGACCTCATCTTCTTCCTGGGCTCCTGCCCTCTCCCTCCTCTAAAAGGATACAATACTCTTGAACTCCAGATGTGGGAATTTTCTCTGCAGCTGGGCTGCTCTCCGCAGGGAGCTGGTTCCCACCACACTGCTCAGAGAGGTTTAAAATGAGATTTAACACTAGGCAGGCACCATTCCTTTTTTTCTCCTTCCAACCCTCCATCTTCTGTGCACATACCACCAAGATGCATATCCAGGCCCTACTCACCTCTTCTCTGGCAAGGTTTCTAGGGTCTTTCCAACAAATCTGGGGTGAAAGACAACAGCATCGCAGGGGTTCTCTCGTCTGGGGATGGAGGGAAGGTAAGAGAATGAGGGAGAGATCTCAGTTCAGGTCACTTCCAGTCTCTTAACAGCCAACTAACTGACATTTTCTGAGTTTTCTGCCATGCCTGATACTCCTCAGGGCAGGGAAGACAGCCCTAGAGGTGGAGGGCCAAGTCTCAAAGGGAAAAGCCAAAGTTACTATGCTGCCTACCCACCCCTTGGCCCTGACTCACAGGACACTTACTTGCAGATGGCTCCAATGGTGAAGCCCGGAGGAAGCACAGTGGGCAGGTCCTTCAGGGAGTGAACGACCAGATCTACTCTAGAGATTGGGATGGGGTTAAGGAGAGGGGGTCTGGGCAGATGGCCCCCACCCCTTTTGCACCTATCCTTGCCTCTACCAAAGTGGTAGAGTCTGGAACAGTTCGGGAAGTAGGCCTCTCTGAGAGACCTCAGAACCCTGAGACCTGCTCCCTTTCTCCCCAACCTCCTACCCCTTCCCCCAGTCAATCTTGCACTATAGGCAGCCAGATGGCTCAGAACTAGGTCACTCTCTTTTTCTGATGCCTGAAAAACACACATATGACTCCCTCTCTAGCCTGTACAAGGGTTTAAGACCAGCAGCCTAGCTGATATTGAAGTCTGATGTATACCGGGGTCCTAGCAAGAGGCTGGGAAGGCCCACCCTTTCCTGTCTTTCACTTACTCATTCTTCTCCAGTGCATGTTCCAGCTCCTTGGTAAATAGGCTCTTTTCTCCAATCTGCCAGGCAAAAAAGAGCCTCAGAATGAATCTCTTGGGGGAAGGAAAGAGGAGGGGGCCAAGGACTGTGGGGGAAATATTGTTACCTTAGAGAGTGCAGTATCAAGAATCTTGTCCCCTGTGGTGGACATAGCAACTGAGGAGAGAGTCAATCAGTCAGGTGCTCATTAAAAAGAATTTATTGATCCCTTACTGAACCCAGCACTGTGATAAGATTCAAAGTAGACGGAGGCACATAAGCTCTAGTCCCTACCCTTTGGGAATGTATGATCTAGCAGGAAGACCAGACACCCTCATAAAAAGACCCAAAGCAGATGTTAATGCCAGGCTAGCCCATGTAATCAGAGCTGGAGGTATGCAAAGGTGGAAAGGGCCCTCTGAACTGGAGACAGCTAAGAAGAACTCTCGGAGGTGATGGGACCAGGTTTTGGTCCTAGGCAAAGCCAGAAAAGTTGTGTACTCCCCTCCAGTGGGTAAGAGCTTCCCCTTAGCTTCCATTCCTGTCCAGAATACTCACTGATATCAAACTGCAGGCCTGGGTATAGTGCTTTCAGCGTTGCTACCACACTGTCCGTCTGTATGCGAGCCAGCTGAAGGCAGAAATTCAGATTAGTCCTGTCCTTTCCTGGCCACTGCCTTGAGCTCAGGCTCTCATAAGGTCAAGGCAATCCTGAAGGTATTAGAATTCAGAGAGGGGGTTGAACGCTCACCTAGGAAGGAGAGAGGGGTCTGGCCTAGAAGTCCTTTGCACCCCAATGACTTTTCCCAGGCCTAGGGACTATCTCACTACAGAATGCAATCTGCTATTCTGCATGAATTTAACACCCAGCTGCCCCACTTCCTCCATCCCCAAGCTGCTGGGAACTAACCTTTTGAGCCCCCTAACTTGTAATGCTGTGAGCACAGAACTCTTCCGACAAACCTCATCCTTCTAGTACCTGCACTCACCTGGCTCTTGCGGGTACCCACACGAATCACTCTCATCTTTGGGCTGTTTTCTTCCTGCAAAAAGATGTCCCCAGGTCACAGTCCCGTCTATTCCTTGGGTTCCTCAAGAACCAGAGGAAAAAGAGGAACTTGGGTTCCTCTTTTTCAAGAACCAGAATCACAGTTGAGCCCTGGAGTAGGGAAATATTCCAAGACTGATCCCTTTACTTTCTTCGGTACTTTCTGCCCTCCTCACAGATTCAGAAAAGCAGAGACCAAAGGAAAGCAATAATAGGACCTGCTGTTGCTGTTGCTGCAATAACCAGGACACTGAGTCCTGAAGCCCACCCTAGCCAGGTGGGTAAAGAGATAAGGCCCATCAGCCTAGCCACAGAAAGGGTGGGGCCTGCAGCAGGCAGGGGCAAGGCAACTGGGGCCACAGAGGGGAACTTACGCTGAGTCACTGAGGACAAGTTCAGCATCCACAACACAGCAGGCACTCAAGAAAGCTTCAGTGCCACCTACATGCTAAGAGATACCGAACAGCTGCCACTCTATGAATCCCCTAATCTGGCTGGAATGATACATAAAGGACTGGGGTCAACAGATCAGATGGATAATACTGCTCAGTCTCTTGGCTGTGACCTTGAGCACAGCATCCCATCAGTACATACTTATTCGTCTATAAAATGAAGAGGTTTAAATTGAAGTATCTTCTGCCTTTGATGTTCTATAAGACTAAGAGGCTGAGCTATCTAATGTCCATTCACTTAGAGTTCTGCCTCTGGTTTCACCAACGAGAAAATATTGGGATGTCAGAGATCAAGACCTCAAAGGGACCAAGTCAAGAACTTTGAGGACTCTTCCTCCTGCCAGGATAACTTGGACAAAGGTGTTCAGTACCAAACAGGTAGAACTGGGTTCTTCAGTCTGAGGTCCTATTTCTTTCTAGATCTGACAGTAGTCACTGTAGATATTGTCGACTTTCCCTGTTCTGGGATCTTTATCCCATGGAGCTCTTTTGCAGGCAGGCATCTGAGGAGGAGGTGACAGTGGGTTGCGCTTGGTTTATTCCATTGCTATCACTTTCCTAGTAAACAAACCCTGGGGGACTTTGAACAAATTAGGCTACAATGGGGGACTTTGAACAAATGCAGGCTTACAATGCTAAACATAGCCACCAAAATTCTGGGCTACAGGGAGCACACAGAAAGGAATCTAAGGTCCCAGAAACTGCTAGGTTCAAACAATCCCTTAATTACATTGATTCTGCACAGCATATTCAAGTCAAATTGTTCCATCAAAAAATTATTTATTGAGCATGTATATGCTAGAGGTATTGCTTTTAATCTTCATAACCACGTAGTAGGTAGACAGAGCAGGCATCTCTGGGATACGTCCTAGAAGCAAAGGCTGGCTCTGAGGGGTGATACAGCTAATAATGGGCATAGAGCTGGAGCTAGAATCCAGATCTTCCTACTGCTAGTCTAGTATTCAGGAATGTCTACAACGGCAAAGAATCTCTCTTCTTACCAGCAGGCTGGACAAGGGGAGATAAGCAGCTGCCACATCTCTTTATCTCAGGCTGGCAGTGGCCTCCAACGGCTCTGTAATTTGCAACTGCACAAGCCCAGAGCCCGGGTGGCAGGCTAGGACTAGGAAGACTCAAGGGTGGTCCCACCCCCACAGTAGTAACCCAGTGTTGTGCTTCAGCTGGGGACGGGATTTCGAGAGTAGGCTGGGGCTGGATGACCGCTAAAATGAAAAAAGGGGAGAAGGAGCCCTTCTAAGATGTTTGCGTATAGTTCAGAGACTTGGCAAGCTCTCTGGATCTGAAGTGGAACACCTTCCCAAGCTGGCTGAATCCTGCCTCGTGTGAAAAGATCCCGGGGAATAGCACCCTGACTTCTGTAGACAACTTTCCTGGGCTGGGTCACTAAATCTAGAGCTGTGGACGCCAGTTTTGGCGGTATCCCACCCAGATTCCCGCAAGGGTGGGGGCTCCGTTCAAGACAATCCCTCCACTCTTAACCCTGTCCTCACCCATGAGAGGTGATGTACCCTGTCCTTCCTAAGAGCAACCCTGATACTGGCCCTTTAAAAACTGTTCGGACACAAACAAACAAGTTAGTAAGTAAGTAAATAAATAAATAAATAATAAAAAGACGGACAGTCGCTCTCTGACCAATAGACAACAGAAGGTGGTAACCTGGGGCCAATTGTTGTACCGCTAGTCCGGAAAACCGAAATTGCGAGGGTCACCAGCGCAGGACTCACCGCCGCTGCGGCCGCGTTGTCGTTACTAGACATGGCTGTTTGGAAATCCAGGGATTGGGGGGCGGGGGCGGCTGCCGCCAAGGCCCCAGGATCTGGGGAAGCCGGGGGCACCCGCTGGCGGGCACCAGGGCCACGCGAGATTGAGCTCCGGCAGCGGCTTCAGACTCCCGACTCGGGGCTGGGCCCTTCGTCACTTCCGGCGCACGCCCCCACAGGGGAGGTGCCTCTCTCCCGCCAGGAATTAGATCGCGACGGAGATGTAGCCCTTGGATTACCGCCCCTACTCCATCAGGCCATTGTCGGAGATGGCGATGCTTGTCCTTGTCTTTCTGGTTTGAGACCCAGACTTATTACCTACTCATCTCTACTTTCACCTACACCTAGTTCTGAGCCAGGAATACTGATCTTATCAGTGGCTAAAACATGGTCCCCAAATTAACTCGCAAAGTAAACTTTGCAGTCCCCTATACAAAGAACTGGACACCCATTGGTTCCTTATGCCTTCATAATAGCCATAGAAGAAAGGTGTCATAATTCCTAATGTACAGATAAACTGAGGTTCTGAGAAGGTAAGAGTTGTTCTAAGTCAGGGATTCAAATTCAGGTCAGCTGATCCAAAAGAGATGGTCATTAAGCTAAAGTTAGCCTCAAGAAGGAAAAACACATTACCCCTAAAATGCTGCGTTGAAAGTAAATGATCCTTAAACAACTTACCATGCCCCCTAGGCTGGAATCAACATCAACAAAAGAGTGCTCAGGAAGCTAATCATCCAGAATTCTACATCTTTACCTCCTTAGCTGTGGCACAAGCTAGTTCAAATTTAACTCTGCTACAAACCTGAAGTAGGCAATTTTCTATTTTTAAAATGTGTTAACTGGTTCAGAGATTAAAGGTCATGCCTAAAAACATAACTATGAGCAGGAGTGCCAAACACACGGAAAAAGTGCTTTACCCACTAACACTACTAATAACCATGTATTGAGCACTTGTGGACTAATCACTATACAAAGAACTGGACACCCATTGGTTCCTTAGGCCTTCATAATAGCCATAGAAGAAAGGTGTCATAATTCCTAATATATAGATAAACTGAGTTTCTGAGAAGGTAAGAGTTGTTCTAAGTCAAGGATTCAAATTCAGGTCAGCTGATCCAAAGTTTGCACTCTTAGCCACTACCAAACTAGTGTACTTTGCCTCTTCTAAATATTATCTAAACCACAATGTCCAAGTTGCTTTCTTCAATTAACCCCATAGGAGCAATTTCTGACAGACAATATAACCCAAACTACATGCAGCCACCAGCAACTTGAAAGAGGGAAAAAAATGTTTCAATAAATGCCCTTTTATCCCACTTATCATCTGGTACTGAATACAGCAAGACGCCAGCCTACCCATTACGAAGGCAGAGTTAAGCCCAAGGCACCCCATCAGAAGCTGCCTTCTGCCTGAATACTTTGTACAAATGAGAGCCACAGAGACTAGCCAGACTAAAGAGCAGGAACTGTTTGAGGGCCTCAGTCCAGGCTGCTCTTGGAGCTCAGGCATTAGGTCTTTTAAGGTTCTTCAGCAGAGTGAACTCTACTAGATGCCACAGGCTCTACCCACTACTGGAATGAAGTCAGATCAATACGACTTTTAAGAAGCTTTGTAAGGAGGTTACATGGAACTCTAGGAGCGCAGAGGAAGAGAAATACATTTTTTTTACAGTTACAAATCACCAAGAAGTCCCCAGAGTAAATCCTTCAACCCTGAAATTATATTCTTTTATTTATAGACTCTGGGAGCAAGGACCCAAGCACAGCCTGGTGCTCTTGGATAGAGAATAGAGCAGCTACTGTCCAAACTCAAGAGATTGCTGAGGTGCCCTCCCCCGATGGTCTGAAATGATCCACACTGCTCAAAAAGTCAACAGGAAGAATAGCAGGCTGGCCAAAGGAGGAGGCAGGAAAAGAAAGTCCTCTTTTGTCCCAAAGGCTATGGCATCAGATGAGAGTGGAGTCCTGGGCATGTCTGCCTGATTCCTGTGCAACAGCCCTGCCTCTGTCCTCCTGTATCCCTACTGCTGTGCCTCTACTATTGCACCCCTTCCACAAGCTGCTTAAGTGCCCCTCCTGGAGTGCATGAGCAGGTCCCGCTGCAGCCCAGACTCCAGGCTCGCAGACAGTCGGGCTGTGGGAGGGTCAGTCAGCAGAGTTAATTTGTTGAAAACACCTCGGCCAAAATAGTCAGCAATCACAGAGAAGCTGTCATTGGAGCACTTGAGCTGCAGGAAAAGAGGAGAGAAGTAGGAATTAGAACTGAAGTGCTCATTTCCTCAAATGAAAACAGAAAAGCCCTGCAGTACTCTCTGTGAGTGGGTAGTCATCTACCCCAGTCTTTCCCACCTGGTGCTGGAACTGATCATGGAGGTCTCGTTTCTGTTCCTGGGCTCGGATCATATCCATGACCTTTCTGTTTTCAGGGAGACAGGTGGGGCAGTCGGCATCACTTTCTGAGTAACTTTCAAAGCAGTGTTGGTGAAAGGAGTGGCCACAGAGAAAGTGGACTGAGGGCAACTCCAAGGCACTATTACAGATGCTGCACTTGGTCTTCTGGAAAATCTTCGGACTACAGGCAAGGGAGACCAGAAAAGAGTGGCAAACAGTGAGGGCAGGGCCAAGAGCAAAGTGGAGAAAGGGTTGGGTGTCAATAAGGAGAGAGAAGTCCCTCTTAAGGGACTATAAGGCCCTGCTCTTCTTCCTACCTACAAGGGGTCAAATGAGGACAACAGCATTAGGCCTGCAGTAAGTCTCATTATGCTCACTGTAAGTCCAATTAACCCAAGGGGATATTTTTCTCTTTCAGCTTTTACAATTGCCACAAAATTGTCTTTCAGATTTTTACTCAGATATGACCCTTTCATTGAAGCCTTTCCGGAATACCTTATAAATATTCTGTGTCTCTGTCTATCTATCTGTCTGTCTGTCTGTCTCTCTCTCTCACACACACACACACTCATCCTACTCCCCTTCCTCAATTTTCTCCTGAGAACTTACCACCATCTAACATACTACAATATTTTGCCCATTTAATGTGTTCACTGTCTTTATCTACCTTTACAATGTAAGCTCCATGAAGGCAGGGCTCTTTGTGTTGTTAAGAATAGTGCTTGGGACATAATAGGGGCTCAGTAAATATTTGTGGAATGAACTGTTCTTTAATTAAAGTATTTTACAATGTTAAGGGCAGATAAGACTTAAGAGCAGGCATTAATGTCTACTATACATACTTATAAAGTACCCACTTTCTGTATTTTCTAAAGCAGAGTTTTTACTTCTGAATAGTTTCTAACCACAACTTAGATGTATTTAGAAAATTTAAAACATAGGCATGTACAGAAAGAAAAGTACCTGCTACAATATCCTCCAAAGCCTAATAAATAATGATCAATGTAATAAATCATTCTTTGGAATTCCTCCATTAAAACAGATCTTTAAGCATGAAATGCTCAAACATACTCCATATTATCTTTTGTCTATAAAAAGTATTTAATGACATCCTGTGAAGAACAGAGTTAGCCCTTGGACCCCTCCACATATCAAGATGCCAAGTACCTCTCCTTGAGCTCCTGGATCTCCTGGCGGATGCGGGTGGTCTCCTCTCGGTACCGCCGCACCCGGAGCTCATCCTGTGCAATCTGCTGGCTCTGTTTCTGCAGTTTTTGGACCAGGTAGTCTCGGATAACAGACAAAGTGGCTGTGGAGTTGTGGGCCAGGGTCTGCACCACTGAGATTGGGAGCCAAGAGGAAACAAAACAATGAACCATCCTCTGGACACAGTCGAAGGGCCCATCCCAGGGCCCCTGACTGTCAGCAGCTGGCACCCACCTACCCACCCTGTCCTCCCAAGCACCTAGAAGGGGTGGCATGAGGTTCTTGTTCTCAATATGCTTGAGCACAGCTGCCACATACTCCTTGCAGTCCTCTTCCTTGCGGGCAAAGTAGCTGAGTGCTTGTTCCCACAGGGAGGGCTCCTGCTCCCCATGGCGCTCACACACAGCGATCACCTGCCGATACTGCTCATGCTGCATGTGGTAGTGCATAATCTGCTGATACCTGCGGCCAAGGAAAGGCACAACTCAGTGGCTGTCCCTGGAAAAATACTTGGATTTTTCCCCCTTCCCTGAAATTCCCCAAACTCTTACAGCTTCCCCTGCTCATAGAGGTAAAGGACCCCATCCTGGAAGTCGTGCATCTGGCAAAGGACCAAGGCCTTGTCAAAGACGTCGCAGAAGCGGCCACTCTTCAGCAGGGAGATGGCCTCTGCATGAAGTTTCTCTTTTACCTAGGGAAGGAGAGTAGAGCTGTTGGACATAAGGGGAAAAAGTCACAAGGCCTCTTGGGACAAGGCAAGTCAGCTGTCTCTTCCCCTCAGTCCAAATGCCTCTTCATTAAGGACCATTTAGCCCCCAACAGTGAGGTGTTAATGGTATAAAGCAGGGGTCCCCAACCCCTGAACCACAGACCAGTACCGGTTCATGGCCTGTTAGGAAATGGGTCACATAGCAGGAGATGAGTGGTGGGGGAGCGAGCGAAGCTTCATCTGTATTTGCAGCCACTCCCCAGCACTAGCATCACATCCTCAGCTCCATCTCAGATCAACAGCTATTGGATTCTCATAGGAGCACCTGTCCCTGGTGCCAAAAATGTTGGGGACCACTGGTAAAGAATGCAGCAAAAAGTAACCACAAAAGATGGAAGAACTGTTTTTTCTCCAGCACCTCCTATGGTTTTTGCCAGGCCTCACCTGTGGATCCTTCTCATGGGCCCAGTTCTGAAGTCGTAGCTCAAGGAGCGTATCATAGATGCCCTGTGGTGAGTCAGGCTGTACTTCACTCATGTGCTCTAGGAAAGCTTTCAACT